ACACAGACCAATGTATTTCCAATGTTCATTACATTTAAATTTGATATTTATAGGTGACAACCAATGAAAACATCAAATCTGGTATCTCAGAAAATTAGAATATTCTAAAGGCCAATGAAAAAATGTTTGTTTCTCTAATGTTGGCCAACTGAAAAGAATGAACATGAAAAGAATGTGCATGTATAGCACTCAATACTTAGTCGGGGCTCCTTTTGCCTCAATAACTGCAGTAATGCGGCGTGGCATGGACTCTGGGACGTAATTTTGGGGGGGGACGGGTGGGACATGTCCCCCCCACTTTTTCAAAAGGCAGTTTTGGTCCCCTGCACTTTTTTCCGTCCAAAAACAATGTTACGCTCCATTAAATGGATTTGGTTGAGCACTAGGACCGAAACGGAAACCGGTTTACTATTAGACCCGCCCAAAAGCTAATCTATTGGCTCTGCTGATACTTGCTAACGTATTATTGGCTGTTGCTGCTGTCACTCAAGTTGTAAACAGTCAGAACGTGCTCACGTTGTTTTGCTAGTTTGGAGCCGCTAGGGAACACCGGTACTGAGTCACATCGTCAACTAGACGCTGTGTAATATCAGAGCTCAGCTCAGCTTCCATTACATAACATTTGAATAAGTGTTCATTTGTGAGTCTTTGGTAGTTAGGCACAGCCAGGAGGCAGCATGTCAAGAAAACGAAAAGTGGATAGAAGAGACTTCTTTCAAAGTCAAAACGTAAGTTGGAACATGTGACAGACCTGCATTAAGCTCAGACTCACCTCCTTCTTCACAAACATACTCAAAACTAACTTTTACAAACTCATCTCCTCCACATAACTGACTCCTCAGACACAATTTATTCGTATTATTATAATTATTATTTTTTTATTATTACTATTATCATCATAATTATTATTACTAGTAGTAGTAGTAGTTGAAGTGTAACTTCAAAACTCTTATCATTTAACTTTATTGTAAACCTATCTATTGCAATGCATATTTTCACATTAAAAAGCTCTGAAAAATGAACAGTATCATCATCGTCAACAGATTTTTTTAAGCTTAATGTCAAAGATGTACACTTTTCATTAGATTTATCTTATTTTTTCAATTTTTTTTGTGTGTTGAAATGCAACAACTGTTTAAACACTTTTAAGGGAAAAACATATTTAATATGTTTTTATACACTCAAATGTTAGGGTGATGATCATGTGTAAAACATTTGTTCAGCATGTCCTCTAACACAGCAAATGAACAAACGGCCAGATCTCAGGAGGGACCGTTTATGTATAAATAATTTTTATACTTTTGACTAGGCCTGGGAAAGTAACACATTTTGCTGGACGATATTTTGTCCAACAAATTGTTGATGATAAACGATATTGTCAACATTATCTAGACCAAAATAACCACTAATATAATGTTAATATATCATAATAATGCAAGTACACCCTTTAAAATGCAACAAAGAAACCTTCATTTAACATTGAAATGTCCAGAACCAGAACTTCTAAATGAATAAAAATAACAAACAAAAATTAAATAAAAAAGGAATCTCACTCCCTGTTAGAAAATGTTGCACCAAAAACAATAAAAAAGACCCAAAACAATAAATACAATGGCCTATCCATTGTCAACAGCCAAAACTGCACTTCAATAAGGATGGAAAAATTATTGAGATGGGCATGTGACGTGTCAAGGGGTCTTTACATAACACCCCCCACCCCAAATCTGCACAAGCCTGCTGTGTCCCCCCCACTTCTGAAATCAAAATTTCGTCCCTGCATGGACTCGATCAGTCTGTGGCACTGCTCAGGTGTTATGAGAGCCCAGGTTGCTCTGATAGTCGTCTTCAGCTCCTCTGCATTGTTGGGTCTAGCGTATTGCATCCTCCGCTTCACAATACCCCATAGATTTTCTATGGGGTTAAGGTCAGGCGAGTTTGCTGGCCAATCAAGGACAGGGATACCATGGTCCTTGAACCAGGTGCTGGTGGTTTTGGCACTGTGTGCAGGTGCCAAGTCCTGTTGAAAGGTGAAGTCTGCATCCCCATAAAGTTGGTCAGCAGCAGGAAGCATGAAGTGCTCTAAAACTTCCTGGTAGACGGCTGCATTGACCCTGGACCTCAGGAAACAGAGTGGGCCAACACCGGCAGATGACATGGCACCCCACACCATCACTGACGGTGGAAACTTTACACTGGACCTCATGCAACGTGGATTCTGTGCTTCTCCGCTCTTCCTCCAGACTCTGGGTCCTTGATTTCCAAAGGAAATGCAGAACTTGCTTTCATCAGAAAACATAACTTTGGACCACTCAGCATCAGTCCAGTCCTTTTTGTCCTTGGCCCAGGCGAGACGCTTCTTGCGCTGTTTCTTGTTCAAGAGTGGCTTGACACACGGAATGCGACACCTGAATCCCATGTCTTTCATGAGTCTCCTCGTGGTGGTTCTTGAAGCGCTGACTCCAGCTGCAGTCCACTCTTTGTGGATCTCCCCCACATTTTTGAATGGGTTTGTCGTCACAATTCTCTGCAGGGTGCGGTTATCCCTAGAGCTTGTACACTTTTTTCTACCACATTTTTTCCGTCCCTTCGCCTGTCTGTTAATGTGCTTGGACACAGAGCTCTGCGAACAGCCAGCTTCTTTAGCAATCACCTTTTGTGTCTTGCCCTCCTTGTGCAAGGTGTCAATGATTGTCTTTTGGACAGCTGTTAAGTCAGAAGTCTTCCCCATGATTGTGGTGCCTTCAAAACAAGACTGAGGGACCTTTTAAAGGCCTTTGCAGGTGTTTTGAGTAAATCAGCTGATTAGAGTGGCAGCAGGTGTCTTCTATATTCAGCCTTTTCAGAATATTCTAATTTTTTGAGATACCAAATTTGGAGTTTTCATTAGTTGTCACTTATGAATATCAAATTTAAATGTAATGAACATTGGAAATACATTGGTCTGTGTGCATTGCATGAATATAATGTACAAGTTTCACGTTTTGAATGGAATTACTGAAATATTTTCAACCTTTTGATGATATTCTAATTTACTGGCCAGCACCTGTATGTAACTACTTAAATAGAATACTCTTATATATATATATATATATATATATATATATATATATATATATATATATATATATATATAGATAGATAGATAGATAGATAGATAGATATATATGTGTGTGTGTGTGTGTGTGTGTGTGTGTGTGTGTGTGTGTGTGTGTGTGTGTGTGTGTGTGTGTGTGTGTGTGTGTGTGTTCTTAAATTTTTTGTTAAATTTGCTTTATCAATTATACTGTTGCAAGAATAAAAAAAATACATTGGTAAAAAAAAAATTTGCACTGAACACCAGCCTTTAAAAAAATCCACATTAGTGTCTGCGGCTTTACCAACATGCAAATGCATCATGTTACCATTAAAACATTGTGTGTCGGATTATGTTGTTTATGACTTGACAGAGTGAATGTGGTTGACTGGCCTGTGAAAAATCAGACAACAGGAACTCGTCAGCAGCTGAAAGAATGCAAGATCTCATAGCAAAACTGTAACAGGTTGTATACAGTGTCTAAAAGATTACAGCATGTAACTACAAGGAATGCTGCTCAAACTCAATGGTAAAGAAACTTCTTTTGCAACAGTTTTTTCTCATTTAATAAAGTTTTATCATTGAATTTACACAATATAGTCAGAAGACTAGATACAACAATCTGTTACAGAACTAATAAGCAATGATATTAAAAAGCCTTACTTCCTTTTCAGTTATAACCTAAATTTCTTTGTTTTTGGCTTTCTGAATTCTCACTTTGGCTTATTTTTCATCCACTGAAACAGTCACATTGAACACATTCACTTTATTGACCCAGGCGTTTGCATTCCCATATAAAACCCACCTTTTATCTGGCATGTGTGTCACTTCCTCAGAGGGCAACCGGCCCCTAGATGTGCCACTAATGTTACTGCGACATTTGACTTCATTTCCTCTCAGCTAAAGGAAACTAAGTGCAAAACAAAAGCTAAACCAAGTGTGCTTAATTAAAACATCTAACAAAACCAAGCAAGGAATGCTAACAAAAATCAAGATGGGAGAAATTAATCAGAGCTGGGGATTTTCTTGAACATACTTCAGAAGAGAGGAGAGGAAATGAACAATAGGCAAGGAAAAGGAATAGAAGAAAGGAGGTGTGGATGTGAAGGTTTTTGTTTTAAATCTGGCATTCGCATCGAAGTGGGGAAAGCGTGGGCCACGGCTGTAGTGGCGTCGTGGGTGGACACCGCTGACAGACAGGCCAAAATATGGCTTTCTTCTGCTGCTGATTAAAGAAGTCCAACAAAAGGGTGGAGGGACGCAGAGGATAGATGACCTTAACCTCCCCTCAGACACACACACACTAGTGTTGCTACATTTTTAAAAATGTAACCGCATCAAAGGAACGGGTTACTGTAAAGGCACCTAGATGTGTACCCAAGAAATCCCCACAAAGAAGTTGAAGGTGTTCTCTGAAAATCATTTTTTCATTATTTCTCAGATTTTCATGCAGGCTCAACATGAAAATAGTCTCCTACACCTATTTCCTGCATTAGCTTCTGGTAGAAAATAGGTGGATTTGAAAAGCCTGACAGTGTCAACGTTCATAGACCCATCCATCTTGAGTAGCAACAGGACTGTTGTTGGATTAGCATCCAGCAATCAGCAGAGAACATCCTGGCTATAGCAGAAGCTAACTGTTAGCATTAGCAACTCCACCACACAGCAGAACTACTCCAGGCTTGTTTGTGGAGATAAAACATCAATGTTGCAAAGTAAAGAGTCAGAGTTGAGTTTCTGTTAGCTAATCAGAGCTGAGATGTGTAAATATCAGAAAGTTAGGCTCCAAATCCTGCCGGCTGAAGCCCTCCTCTGATCTGGCTGCCTCGTAGACCCTGAAACAGGCGCCCCAGAGCTTTTTTTCTACCCAGAGTATGACTTACAAGGCATTCATTCCTACTAGAGACCATTACAACAAACAAGTGAATCACACCTTTAACTTATTTTTTTTTATTGTTTTCTACTTAACGCTGAAAACAGTAAACAACTTGAGAAAATGCCACTTTTTAAAAAAGTGAACTACTTTATCTTTCAGGAAAACATAACACATTTGTCAGAAGATTCACAAATTTTTAAAAGGATGAGCAAACAGATCCCAAAATGCCCCAAAAATGAAAACATTACAAAATCCCTGTTCTAAAAGCCAGAAAGAACAAATCAATGGGTAAACTTGCTTCCATAGAAATGAAGCGCAGAGTAAAAACTACTCAACACAAAAGGCTCATGTTGAATTTAAGATGCACTGCCCCCTGCTGGTCAAACTACCAGCCAACCTGCTGATACAGCAGCTTAAACATAAGATCACCTCCACACACAGTAGATGATGAGATAATGCTGATATTATGGAATTTATGACAGGATGAATGAACACTTGGTAAAAGCCGGAAGGGCCGACAGTCACATTTGGCATTTGATTTAAAAAGAAAGACATAATCTCAAGCACACAAACTCACGTGCAACCTAGGAATAAAAACTAAACGAAGAGAAAATTCTGAAATGACTTATGGTAAAAATACAAAACGTGTGCTTTTACAGTATCAAAATATTGCACAGTCCCACTAAAGTTCATAAAGAGTCACAGTTTCAATAGTTAAGGCAGAGTTTCCTCCTGATGAGGGAGACATGTTAAAAAGTTCAGACAAATATATATATATATATATATATATATATATATATATATATATATATATATATATATATATATTTCAATCACTCATCACATTAAAAACACTTTGTTATTTTTAACCCACATATTATTTCTCAAGGAAAATCCACTCATTCAGCTGAAGTGGGCCTCTTAATTCCCTGTATGACCTCCAGATCCAAAAACAGCCGATGGTGTCGTGTCCCATTTCTTCCCATTTACATATCAAATATAAAACTTTGGTATAAAATAAACCTTAAAGTAAAATATTCCCAATCTTAAAACAGTGGTACAACCTCAGTTTTCCAGGGACCCTAAAGGTACTACAGAAGGACGACACGGCCATAACGTGAATGACATGTCAAAAATAACTCAGCTGATGTTTATTGCTCAGGATGGCAGGACTGCCAATATGGCTTTAGTCTTTTTTCCTCTCTTGGTTAGTCATAAACATGACTCAGCTGAACACTCGCACTGATCCTTGCAGGCATCTTAATCTTGGATCCATATTTGCGGCCGGCCATCTTCAGACTGATTCAGTACCGTCTTTGTTCCAAGGAGAAGGGGGAACACTTGGAAGGCCTCGGTTTCATTTTGATGGTTTGAAAAACCAGCAATAGAGATGAAAAGGTCACTGGATTTTAGAGAGCCCACTGGCCAGGAGGAGTCTGAAGGGGATGGCAGAGCGTGACACAGTTATGGGTAGTCTGTGGAGTCCTGCAAGGAGAGAGAAGAAAAAGCTGGTTGATTTTTACTGAGTGGAAACTTCCAGAGCTGAGGCAGATTGCTGATTTAGGTATAATAAAAGTTTATTAATCATTGAACAAAAGTCATCTGGGAGGTAATGGAAAAGTGCAGGAGAGCCTCTATGGAGCAGAGATGATATCAGCACTGAGGAAACAGATTACGTGAGTGTGTGTGTGTGAGTGCTTGGCTAGCTCATGTATCAAGTGCTTGTTTGTGTAGGGTGGAGGTGTAGAGGGTGTGTGTGTAATACAAGGGGTCCAGGGCAGTGTGCCTGAAGGTCCCCAACAGGACTCGACTCCCCTCTTGTCCCCATACAACTTCCTGAAAGGATTGTATTATTCTATCTGAGGAAGGGAGACCAGCCCATCGGGAAATGGGCCCCTGAAGTGGGACACTTATGGAACAGCTATCTAAGGACAATGTAGATTTAGACTAACCAAAGGCTCTGATGAGCTCCCTCTGGACGGCCCAGGTAACCGTCTTTATAAGCGACGCAGAAGTGAGAAAAGCAAACAGCATGTTGTAAAGGAAGACTGTGTAGAAGTTTCCAAGCCAGTTGTAGCGACCAAAGTCTCCCAGTAGGTCAAAGCGTGTGATCCCTGAAAGGAGCAAAACACGAGGGTGAACTCACAAAAGACCTGCTCCAGCTGAGCTGCAGCATTCATGACATGAACACACTCTAGTGGGCACTCTCAAAACTGCAAGTGAAGACTTTGTTTAGCATCTCTTCAGTTTATAAAAGTCCAAATAAAACATGTTCTATTAACATGTTTGACCCATTGATTTTGTAGCTTTGACAGAAACTTCTTACTTCTGCCAAAAATTTGTAGATTTTCTTCTCCAAGTAGGTGGTTTGGTTTTTTAACAACTGAAACTAAATTAGCTCAATATAGCAAAATAATCCAAACCTGTTACTCAACAATCCTCAACAACACAAACAGAAACTGAAGTTACGATCCCCATTACAGCTGGCTTCACTCAGACCAGACAGGTTTTAGCTGTTAAAAAGGTTTGAATGGATCCAAATCCAGACTGGATCACTTTTGTCCCAAAGCTGCTCTGACCTCTTGAATTTCAAAGTGTTTTATTTAAATGTCCGTTTTGCCACATGTAAAGAAATTCCTGTTAGCCTCTGGATGCAAAAACATCGATGTAAAGGTTTAAAGTCGGAAAAACTGCTATTACATTTAGCAGATCAAAGCGGTACACTTTGGTTTTCTCTGTGCTAACAGACAAGCTGTTCTTTAGTCATGAAGGACATCAGCTGCATTCCTACAAACAAACTTTAGGAAGTTAACAATTTAATAACTTTTTCACATAAATACACTAGAGATTTAAAGAAAATGTTTACTGTGCTCTCCATCTGTGCATTTCCTGTTTCAATTTCTGGAAAGTTAAACGCTCACCTTTAGACTGAAAATGCAAAATCTTTACATAATAAATCAATTAAACTGTTAAATGTATTTAGAATGTTTTAGGTTAATTTAAAAATTAGATTGTAAAGAGCTTTTATTTTATTTTGAAAGTTCAGTATACATCAATGTAGCTAGTCTTGGCTCAGACGAGTCAGCTCGGTCTCCGTGCTCTTCTGGAGGAGATTCTGCAAGCTGCTAAAAGCCACTCAAACCAAAAATCTGCAACTGGTCCAGATGGTGCTATGCCGAGTTTACACAATCACTGTTGCTCGTTGGATTCTAAAATAGTCAATCTGCAGCCCAAGACTCAGAGCTGAGGCTGCAACACTATCTAGACCATCACACTAACACTCCACAGGTAGGATAACACGAGCTGAGGCACTGCTACGTGTCCAACAAATAACAGGATTTGGGTTCCATCAGAACTGGAACAAGACTGTAGAGTTGGATCTCTTTGTCGGTCGTGTTCTTACCAAGTGTGCGTGAAAAAACCGGCAGTGCAGAGCTGAGGATCAGTAGTGACACACAGTTTGCAATGATCTGAAAACCAACATTCATGGGAGAGGAGTTAGCAAGGAGCATGTTTCAGGTGCATCTTGCTACTGGTCTAAACACCGGAGCTGGTTTTAACACACCTGTGTGAGGTTGGTGTCCTTTGCACGAGGCAGGAGGCCACAGAACAGAGAGGAGCTATAGAACCCCACCACTGAGGACAGCATCAAGTAGCTGACATTTCTCTTAAGGACAACACAGGCTAACAAAACTAAAAACACAAGTGTAGGTGTAACCGACGTAAACGATGAATAATTGAATTACTTCTCAGAAAACATAAAATAGATCACTGGCCTTTGAAGATGGTTACAATTAAAGGGCTGAAAGGATACAGGATAAGGACTACTTGAACTGCAGCACCCAGTGAGCCAAACATGGAGAAGGAGGCCATTCCCAGGTGAGGGTCCTGCAACACAAAAACAACCATTAGTGTCCACTGACGATTGGCTGTTATTGAAGTGTTAATGTTTTTTTTACAGCCCTACCTCCATTCCTCTGGGCATCGCCGTCTCATCCAGCAGCAGCTCCAGCACATTAAAGCAGACCATGAGTACGCACATCACCTGAAGACGCATGCAGGAACGTCACAAAAGTCTGTTGGTAAATCAAGATTTAAAAGAGCTGAGGTATGAAATGCAGACATTTACCGTCAGTGAAAGGAGCACAAGCATCACCAGCGGATAGCCCAGGTTTCGCTGCCATGGAGACGCTTTCCTGCGCATCTCTTTGGGGAAAAGAAAAAAAAAATGAGTGCACTGCAACTAACAAGTACACACTGTTGCCTCTGAAGAAAAGCCATCTTACCCAGAGCAACGCGATTGTTCCTGACTCTTTCGTACTCTTTTCTCATAGCCTCCATGTTCAGATTGACCCAAACTGACGCACTGGAGCCTTCAGACATCCCAGACACAAAATCACCTTTAGAATCCCGTTAGAAGACATGACGAAGGAGTATGAAGCGGACACTTACAGCTGAGTTTCCTGTAGAGAGAGTCTTCCTCAAATGTGGTGCAGCTGAGTGTATCTTCAACGTCCTCCAGCAGCTAAACAGGACAAGATTCATCAGCGTTTCCAAACCCACAGTTTAAAAAGCAATGGTCATAGCTGTGAGCATTTATTTTTCTCTACTTATTTGACAAGAGTCCATTAACAGCCCACACCAAGAGCCAAATTAGACTTGTCCTCAGCTTACCCGCGGTTTGACCAGCAGGCTCCCAGTCACACTGAACATTCGAGACAACCCAAAAGGCGTGCACACTGATGAGACAAAACACAAAAGATGATGTTCAACACTCAAGCACACAGTTTTAGCTGCTTTAGTGATCAGGACAAATATACTAACATAGAAGCAGCAGCACTCCAAACAAAGAGATGCCCGAGTACAGATATGGAAGGTAACAGTCCCACAGGTCTACGGGGCAAAGAAATACAACATGTGAGGAAATCAGTAAACCTACGTTATCAAGTCAACAAGGAATAGTTAGTAAAAGTGACTTACCGTAGAGGCTCTTGCGGGCGGCGTTGTCATGGAGGAAGGCTGATGCCACCCACACAATGCCTAGCACAAGCAGAGCTAGCAGCAGCAACAGCACCACTGCTTCATACACTCGGGCCATTACTCCCTACACAACATAAGATGCTCAGATCAGTTTCAGTGCAATCATTGTCTTTTTTTGAATGGCTTTTAAAATTTAGGGCCAAAAAGACGCCGGTACCTTTCTGGATCCTGCAAATCCCTCAGACTCAGTGAAGAAATAGGCAAAAGGCATGAGGAAGACCAGGGACAAATTGGAGAAGAGAAAAACTAGATTCCACAAGCCTGAGAAGGGAGGAAAAAACAATATAGTTTTAATTACAATAAAACATTGCAGCAGTACTACATAAACCACCACGAGGAATCAGATTCCAAGTATGAAGAAACTGTTGCTTTAATGGACGCAGGAATGTGCAACAATCAGATATTTAAGAAATCTTAAGAATATAAGATATTTGATGCCTTATTTACTTTTAGTTTCACAATCTAACATCATAAAACAAAGTTTTATTTTGAAAAAAACTGAAAATCTCTTCTAAATTATTGCATTTTAAGCTCTACTATGCCCCCTGTAAGAACAGAGCTATTCTGCACACGGGCCAGTGAAGTATCAATTTGGAGGTCGTCACCCACCCGGGTCATGTGATGCTACACTACATCGAACAGGGAGCCGGCACGTGAGACGTCGAGTTGGACTTCGTGGATCCCTAAAGAAGCGGCTGGTCCGATTCGGCCCAGCTTGTGACCCGGTGGTTCCGAGATGTCTGATGTTTTACTCTGCACCCTGCCTTGTGAACTTGGCCGGCTTTGAGGGTGAGCTGGCACCACGCCACGGCCAATCAGTTCGAGGACCTCGCCAGAGTGGGGTTTGCTGGGAGAATCTACGCTCGGTTACAGGCTCAGAGTTGAAGGAGACGGTGCCCGTGCGTGATCCCGGTGCTACGGCCCCGCCGCAGACCCCGTTTGGTCTGGTCAATGCCAGGTCTGTGCAGAACAAAACTTTTATTCTTCAGGATTTTTTTATTCCACATGGCTTGAGTTTTCTGTGCATCTGTGAGTCCTGGATCCCGTTTGGTGACTCAAGCGCCCTGCTGGAGCTAGTACCACCTGGCTGCTCCTGTTTTAATATCCCTAGATCGCGGGGCAGAGGTGGTGGGCTGGTTGTTGTTTTGAAATCCAGCTTTCCTTGTAAACAGCTTACACCCACCATGTCATTTTCTTCCTTTGAACTGTGCATCTCCCCCCGCCTACTCGTCGTGCTGATTTATCACCCTCCAAAGACAGACTCTTAACTTCCTTAATGACTTCTATGATGGTGGCAGACTGCATCCTAAAATATGACCATGTCCTATTTTTTTGGTGATTTTAACATCCATATCTGCTGTCCTGGCAATGTGCTTGCTAAAGGTTTTTTGAATTTGCTAGATTCATTCAATTTGACTCAATGGGTATCGTCCCCAACTCATGCCAGGGGTCACACCCTAGACCTGGTTCTCTCTTTTGGTCTCCGTCATGAACCTTGAGACTTTTCCTCCTGTGTTCTCTGACCACTCTCCAATACTCTGTGATGTTACGTTGCCATGTCCTGTCCCTGTGTGTGAAACTCCAGCTACCAGGTTCAGAGCCCTGGATGCTGAAACTGTTGCAAAGTTTGTGGACTGTATGTCTGTAAGGTTAGAGACCTTTAACCCAGATCCATCTAACATTGATTATTACTCACAACACTTTGATGTACTTTGTAATCAGGTCCTGGACGTGGTTGCCCCTCTCAAGCTTTGCAATTCTAGGCCTAGGAGGGAGCCTTGGCTCTCTGATGTCACACGGGCTTGTAGGCGGGCGTGTAGAGCCTCTGAGAGAAAGTGGAAAAAGGACGGCCTACAGGTCTCGCGTGAGTTCTTCAGAGCATCTCTGGTTGCTTATCAGGATGCAGTGAGGGTTGCTAGAATGGCCTATTTTGCAGACATCATCGAAACAAACTAAGAATCCCAAAATTCTCTACAAAACACTGAACTCTGTTCTGGTGTATCAGGAGCCCAGCTTCATGTCTCTTACAGCTGCTGGAAACTCTGACGATTTTCACAAATTCTTTGTTCATAAAGTATCGGGCATTAGAGTAGCTACTTCTGGTAACCCTATTGACCCTGTTCCAGTTCTTCCATCACCACCCACCCTGAGCTCCCTCAATACTGTTTCTTATTCTGAGCTAAGAAAGCTTGTTGCGAGGCAGAAGCCATCTGGCTCTCCACTTGACGTTCTGCCGCCTCGTCTCTGGAAGGCTGCCTTTTCGTGTCTTGGCCCATCACTCAGTCAGATTATCAATGGGAGCCTCAGCACAGGTGTGGTCCCAGCTGCTTTGAAAGCAGCAGTTGTTCGGCCGACCCTGAAGAAACCTCTCTCTCTCTGTGATCGAAAATTACAGGCCTATCTCTACCCTGCCTTTTACATCAAAACTGCTTGAGAAAGTAGTTTATCAGCCGCTGGTCTCACATTTAGCTGACTCTGATCTGTTTGAGGTTTTTCAATCAGGGTTCAGGTCTGGCCATAGCACAGTCAGCTCTACTGAGGGTCTTAAATGATATCTATCACTAGATCAGGGTACATCTGTGGTGCTTCTGTTGTTAGATCTGACAGCAGCCTTCGACACAGTTGACCACGCGATTCTACTCGATCGCTTGGAACGATGGGTTGGGATCAAAGGGTCTGCTCTGGATTGGTTTAGATCGTATCTCCACAACTGGACATTCTGTGTTAAACTAGGTGATGTTTTTTCTTCTTGGAAGGGGCTCCGCTGGGGGGTCCCGCAGGGATCGATCCTTGGTCCTCTTTTGTTTGCCATTTATTTGCTTCCTCTGGGGTCAGTCTTTCGTAAACATGGCCTAGCGTTCCATCTCTATGCTGACGATTGCCAGATTTACTCTCCATTGTGTCAGGAGAAAGGTCACTCTATCCAGTCCTTTGTGTCCTGTATTAACAAGGTAAAGTCTTGGCTAATGGCCAACTATCTGCATCTGAATGAGGGAAAGACAGCTCATCGTTTTTCACCCCAAGGGTCATTATGTTGATCTTCGCCGTCTTTCTCCCTACTCAAAACTAGTTGCCACCAGTCTGGGGGCGAAAATTGACGCTGGACTTAAATTTGATGCTCACATTAACTCTGTGATCCGGTCCAGTTTCTTTCATCTTGCAAAAATCAAGCCTATGCTGTTGAGAGCCCACCTGGAGCGGGCGGGTACTCCATGCTTTTGTAATTTCTAGGCTTTATTACTGCAACTCTCTCTATGCAGGCTTGTGTCAGTCATCACTGCGTCGCCTACAGGTTGTGCAGAACAGCGCAGCAAGGTTCCTGACTGGGACCAGGAAACGGGACCACATCAGTCCAGTTCTGGCCTCCCTGCACTGGCTTCCGGTCTGTTATCGTTCACACTTCAAACTCCTCGTCTTTGTTTACAATTTCTTCCAGGGTGGTGCTCCCCCCCCTCTCTGGCCACACTCCTGAACAGACATTCCCCATCACGTGCTCTGCGCTCCTCTGACCAAGGCCTGCTTGCTGTCTCTCGTTCTAGGTGTCGTAGTCGCGGAGACCGGGCTTTCTCAGTCCTAGCACCGTCACTCTAGAACCAGTTGCCATCCTCATTTAGGCTGTCCCCATCTCAGCCAGTCTTCTAAGAGTCTCCTAAAAACCCACCTCCTCCACTTGGCGTTCCCTGAACTTGTTTGAATTTGGCCCTCTTTTATGTTGATTTTATTTCCGTTTTCATTGGTTCACTCTCTCCCTTGTTTTACCCATTTGTCTTCTACTTTAATGTTTTACCTTTTTTTGCACTACTTGATTTGCCTTTATTTTCGATTTACTCATCATGTTTCACATTTCTCATGTACCATGTTCAGCGCCTTGGGCTTCCCGACAGGGTCGCTCGTGGAAAATAAAGCTTTGATTGATTGATTGATTGATTGATCGAACAGGAATCATTATTTGTAACCGTTTGAACTTGTCAGCTGATAAAAACAAAACGTATACCATGGATGAGAGAGCCGTTGAGCCACTGCATGTAGTAGCTGTGTGGGAACATGAGAAGCACCTCGTTGGACAGAATGGAGATGGGGAGAAGCAGCACAGCACTCACTGAGACGGACAGGGTGAATGTGCACAACCACAATCTGAGAGGAGCAAAATAAATCATCACGTTAAACCTCAGTCTTACGAATCAGCGGTGAATATGAATAACAGTGCCAGCGTGAATGGACAAAGTACAGCCAGAGGCCAAGTTAAAACACACACACACACTACAGAATGACCTCTGATCGCTACTTGTGTCACATTGACTGGTATCCGTGTGAACGCTCATGGTGACACTCAAATCTGTGCTTAGCCTCAGGCTGTTAGGTTAGTTAATCATTAGAGTTTTTTTTACTTACGCAATTTTATTGACAGTTGCATCTTCAATATCATCTGTAGGAGACAAAAACAAGCAGATAGCATTCATTACAAAAGGAAATAGTTAGCTTTGCACGTGTGCAATCTGACTTGGAGGAAGAGTGGTTTGTTTTAATTAGGTGGTAATTAAAGATTTGTCGTTACAGGAAAGGTAGAAGATGCTTTCAGAACAGTGCTGTCCATAGTCTGGCCTGCTTCCCTTTTAGACTGCAATTCTAGAAATGTGTTCCCACCAAAACAAGCTTTTGATTTTTTTTTTTAAGTTGAGAGTTTCTTCTGTGTGGCCTAACAAAGATATAATACTCAATTTTGTTTTAAAAAACAAGAAACTAGAAATCGACCAGCCCAACAAATCCATCCATCCATTCTCTTCTGCTTATCCGGAGTCGGGTCACGGGGGCAGCAGCCTAAGCAGAGAGGCCCAAACTTCTCTCTCCCCAGCCACTTGGGCCAGCTCCTCTGGGGGAATCAAGGCGTTCCCTGGCCAGCTGAAAGACAGTCCCTCCAGCGTGTCCTCCTGCTTTGACGTGCTTGGAAAACCTCACCAGGGAGGCATCCAGGAGGCATCCTAATCAGATGCCTGAGCCACCTCAACTGGCTCCTCTTGATGTGGAGGAGCAGCGGGTCTACTCCGAGCCCCTCCCGGATGACTGGTCTTCTCACTCTAAGGAAGAGCCCAGCCACCCCACGGAGAAAACTTATTTCGGCCACTTGTATCCGCGATCTCATTCTTTTGGTCACTACCCAAAGCTCGTGACCATGGATGAGGGTAGGAACATAGATCAACCGGTAAACAAACAAATCCATTTCTTTTATTACGGCAAATGTAAAAGACATTTTATGTCATATCTATAAATACTAGCTGATCGTTCACATATTTTGAAGTGGATTTCTTTGGCATGTGGTCTTGACCTTGCTATGAAGGATCATCAGTTTACCACTCAGGCCACAACTGATCTCCCATTTCTCCAAACCGAATAACATAAAATATTAAATGTTCATGTTCCAAAGAAACCCAGTTTCAAACATCTGAACTACCGCTTTAAGTTTCCCTGAGCTCATTAGTGTGAAAGTGGGGGTGGAACATTCTGTCCATGCAGGACTGGACCAAGACTCTAGTTAAACCAAATTACACAAAGGAAGAAAAAATTAACAACCTACATTATGCAGCTCATTGAAAATTCCTGTCAACACAGTTGGCTTCTGACACCAGAACATCGCCCAGTGCTGAACGTCTCACAGCTGTTTAATTACAGGGTACAGCCTGAGGAGGTAGAACCAGTTCTTCACAACTGAAAGTCACAAACATCTCTCGGTAAAGGAATTGCACAATTGTCACTTAGCTGCAGGGTAGAACCATGCTCATGTTTCTTGGTTCACAGAGTTCAGAACTAAGCTTATACCTTGAACCACAAACAAAAAGATGGCACTCCCTCGGACTACGCCTCAGTGGAGCAGAGATGACCACTCAAACAACCCACATCTGCTTTCAATAGTGACAGTTTATTGGGCTCGGGCTGCAATAATGTGCCCAGTCACATCTGATCACTAATCAAAACCAGTCAAACTGTCCAAGTGCACGGCGTCTGCTTATGGGCCACACAGTGTTGGCCCAAATAGGTTTTTCAGCACTGTTGTGGAAGAATAAAGCAGCAGAAATATGAGCTTTGTGATATTGTTGCCATTTTTCTACAAACCTGATCCACAGCCATACATAAATTAATGCATCTTCATCTCCAGGCATTTCTAGCCAAGATCTAAGACTCTTCAGTTAAAAACGCCCAGTGCAAATGTAGGTTGTGTGTACAGGCATGCAAGCACGGACGAAAATGTTATAAACAAAGACAGAAAAGATGGTGTGTTTGTTTGCCTGTTGCCAACGCACTAAGAAGAGAGAAATTCCAAAACTTTAACGTAATCAGTCAACATTGTTGCTTCCCCTCAGGGCTGAAAGTTTCAGTCACCGTACCAACTGTAGGATATTTGTCCACATGCAGGAACTTCAACCTCACCTGTGACAAACTCGGCCGTCTTCTTGAAGTGAGTGAGAACGAGGTAGCACACCATGTAAAGGCACGTGAACAGGAGCACACAGATCTGCACGAAGAACACAAAATATATCATTCCTGCATGCCTTCGGTGTGAGACTGAAAACAGAGTGTGGTTGCTTTGTACATAAAATAAACAAGTAGCTTTGGTAATCTGTCTCAAACTGCTGCACTCACATTTTTAGTACATTTAAATGCAACTTACCAGACATGCATGGTGCATGGGGAAAGATGGGGTTACAAAAGCTAAAAATATTTTGTTTTTCCCAGCTAAAGAGACAGATGGAGTCCAAAGATTAACTCTGTATTACAAAGAAAATGGGGTCACACGGTTTCTCTCTTACTGAGATGGGGTGGGGGGGTGTCAATGAAAGACCCCAGACCACAAAGGTCATCTGCTGATTTAGCAATTATTAAAATTTAGGTTAAAACCTACAATTAAATCAGTAATCTATTGTCTGGCAAAGATCTCAAGTCCAAGAGTCTATTATTCAAACTCATCAGTCACATTTAGCAGTTTTTTTTCTACACAAATCTTCTAAGCTGAGCTGCATTTAAGTCATGTTCATGTCTGATTGTGTTCAACATGTCCAACAAAGACAAATGAACACATCAATAAAACATTTTTATATGTGGAGCTTTAAGGAATCCAGCCAGGTCTAAACTCTGGCCTCAGACACTCTCTGAGGAACCAAACAATAATAAAATGGCCTTTTTTTGATTTAACACTTTCTATGATTCTGCAACCGCCCAAGGCACTTTACAAAACACACACATTGGTCGGGATGAGCTACAGTGTAGCCACAGCTGCCCTGAGGCACACCGACACAGGCAAGGCTGTCGAGCACAGGTACACCATTCCCTTCAACCACCACCAGCAGGCAAGGCTGGTTAATGGTCTTGCCCAAAGACGCGACTGCAACAGACATGGCTCAAACCTGCAACTCTCCAGTTACTGAGCGGGCACTGAACTGTGCATAAATATATTAATAAAAATACCATAGAATAAAACAAAGAATGACATACCTATAAGGTATGCAACAATATGTTTTTTATGACATGAAACAAAGTTTTGCATGCACAAACATGCATTTAGCTTTCTGTCAAAATCTGGAAAAACATGTTTCCAAATTGTGCTGCATTTGGCTAAGTGGGAGTGACCGGTGAAGCAATGGTAGTACCTGCAGCAAGCAAAGAACAAAGAACCTTACACAAGAACTAATCCGCTCAGTCTGCAAAATGTTCAGTCCTGCAGTTTCATTCAGCAAGAGTCTGGCTAAGGGGAATCTAGCAGAAGAAAAAGCAGGGAACAATGGGTGGGTTTTGGGTGAGAAACAGGTGACCGGGCAGAATATTTAAATGCGTTTATCATCAGCATCAAGCAACAGTGTTTAAAAAGGTCTTCTATAGCATGCACGACGGACTTATGTAGAAAACAAAATCAAAAACAGTTTTAAATTAGTTGAAAGTCTAGTTTAACTGCAACGTGCACCAGAGCGTAGCAACCTAAGGCCCACGGAAAGCAGAAAAATAAAAAACACCTGCCCATAATCAGGTATTTCAAGTTGATATTTGAGGGAATTAATACGTCAATTCAGTGTTTGACCTGCCATTATTTCTAAGGAACACACCCTCACAATACAATGGCAGATGTTTTGTCTGAGTCAAGCAGGTCTTTTATAAATAACACACACCATTCTGCTAGGACCTTTAAAGTGACGACATCCTATTGCTTCCTGATGCCGTGTGTCCCATTTCAGCTGTGTAAGATCTTAATGTGACCTTTTATTTGATCCTCCCTGATCCCTCCAGGCTTCGTAGGGTGTTTTTATTCATGTCAACTTATTACAAAAAACTTTGCCAGATGCTGTTAGCAAAGAGGATTTATAATGACTAAATGAAGACAGACATCTGGCAGCAATCACATTTTCCCAGAAGGTTTTTCTGTTTCTAAAACTTGTTTTACTGCAAACTGTTATGTCATATTAGAACAGTGTAGGGCAGGGTTTGACGGCCTGTAACTAATAGCTCAATGTATTGGTGCTTTAATAGTATTGTATTTAACAAAATTAAAGGTTTAAAAACACACCAGTGGAATAATTCATGTTTTAATTTCCAAATACGACGTTTTTACATGCAAAAAGGAAACTAAATGTAGTAAATGCTTGGTTTAGACAGCGGCATGCATAAGCTGTTACTTTGGTCTCATTATAAAGATAACCATTGTGGGATTTGTTGGGATGTGTAACTATAATGTGATTTTGATGAAATGTAAAATGACATGAAACAATGTTAAAGGGGCAACGGTGGCACAGGAGTTAAGTGCTTGCCCCATATTTGGAAGGTTGCAGGTTCGAGCCTGATCAGTCAGTTATTGTTGTTGTGTCCTTGGGCAAGCGCCTTCCCTGCTGGTGGTGTTTGGAGGGACCGGTGGCGCCTGCGTACGGCAGACTCGCCTCTGTCAGTGTGCTCCAGGACAGCTGCGGCTACAACGTTGCTCATCACCACCAAGGTGTGAATGTGTGTGTGTGAATGACCGATTGTGGTGTAAAGCGTCTTGGGGGGTTCCAGGACTCTAGAAGGCACCATATCAAATCCATGCCATTAATTTACCATAAATTATTCATAATTAACAATTTTAAATTCCCACCCCCAGATTCTTTTGCGACAAACACCTTCACACCTTAAATTCACCACTTGACTTACTTTTGCTATGCTTCAATCCTGTTCTCTTGATACCAAAACACTGGATTAGAATTAGAGAAACTAGGCTCCTAGCAAATCAGACAAATAATACTGCAGACAGAGAGACACAGTTGTGTTTAACTGGATCGTAATGGTCGTGATATGGTAACTTAATGCATCTCACATGGAAAGAGTTGTGACATGCTGAGTATAGCTGAGACATGGTCCACCCCTTGGCCACACAATGAGAAGCATACTATCTGGTATGGATTCCTAGCCTAGTGAACTAAACCAAATTCTTGCTTTGCAAAGTCTAGGCACGCTCCACTGGAACCTCCGCAGCTCCTACCAGGACTCTGGCTAGCCAATCACAGCTCTCTAGAGGGGTTTCAAACACATAAAGAGCTGTGATTGGTCCATAAAGGTGGGCCAATCATAGTGCTTTATCTGCTTAGTGAACAAATCACAGAGCTTTATCCGCTTTGTGGGCCAATCAGGGCACTCTATATGCCTGGTGGGTGGGATGATGCAACAGAGTGAAACAAGAGTATGTCACATTCATTGTCCAGTGGAATGCGGAGATCATTTGAAAGACAACGGTAGAACCCGCCCCACAACCGAGAGCCATCAATGGAGCATGGACAGACTAAATAATACATTTATTTAGTCTGGCTTGCCAGGCTAATGGTTTCCTTCTAAATGGGGAAATCTATTTGATCTGATAAGAGGTCAGGACAAAACTAAGCTCTCTCCAAAACATCTACATTTCAGTTTGAATTAATTTTAATTTGATTTTACTTGTATAATACTGTATGAGAAGTGACTGTAGAAGACAATAACAAGATGGTGGGGAGAATTATGACTTTTATCTTAGGAGACCTTTGCTATGTTATATAATGTCCTGGGAGTTGCTCTTGCATCATTTCAACATTTAGGAAGTAAAACTGGATTCACATCAAGTTGTTTCCATTCCACCCAATGAGTATAAAAAAATTTAAACACACATTTGCAGAGCTAATGCATTTCTTGCACATCAGCAAGTTTATTTTTCTATTTTTTGTACCATTTATATTTGTTTTTCAAATATGGTCATATGAATCAAAAACAGACATGAAAGATCTGTGTAAACTTGCTGTATTGTTGATTGTGCCTTAACAGATGTACTCATAAAGTAAGCTGAGGCTTGAGCTGCGCCTCGCCTGGAAAACAGATGAGAGCAGACGGAAGCAGCAGGGGAGTGGCTGAAAGCCGGACAGATTTCCCTACATGTGTAGCTCGCGGGTGACGATGGATGAAGATATCGCGTTAGCGTTCACACTTGTTTAATTTTCAATTTTAATTCTGGTGCCTGTTAGCAGCTGAAACACATCCTCAAGTGTTTGTGGATATCATATATTGTATATGAAGACATGACTGTAATAATAAGTAAAGGTTATCAGCTGTAGGTTCAGTGTGCTCATAGGAAACGTGACAAAAGAACACAAAACACATTTCTCTTTATGGCCTATATAGTTGTCATCATCAACATAACATGATTTACAGAATACATGTGACCAACTATCATTTCATGTTCTACCACCGGATGTTTGGATCAAAATATGAACCAATCAGATCTTAGATCAGGTGAGAGCCAGGCGTTTCCCGTCATCCGCTAGGTTTTGCAGCCGAGGGAGAGCAACTGCAGCGCCTTGCTCCAAAATCTGCGGCCGCCTCGATCTCACGAGGTTATCGTTGCCTACGTATGCATGACGTCAGAGCAAGTCGGCGTCAAGTCGGACACAAATCTAACCGGCATGCACTGCTCGCCGATCACCGCTGATCTAATCTGCGCAGAACTGGCTCATCTCGAACAAGGCCGAAGTTACATCAGTTCATTTCTGACAGCTCAGCTTCTTTTTGAAAGCAAACTTCACAAACACAATTCTTAACACATATAAGACATTTTAAGCAATCTTAGACACAAACGGGTCTCTCCTGAAAGCGAGATGACGACTGCGGCAAAGAGAGACGACCAAAGTTCACTACTGAACATTAAAGCCAGGTGCGCTTTGCTTTGATTTTGTGGTAACCATTTTTTAATTCATTTGAGCCTTTATTCAAATTATACTAAAGTCATTTTGTCAGGCTATGAAACAAATGGCTTAAAGACGAAAAATCCTTGCACACTGATCTTGCTTGTGATGTCACCATGAGAAATTTGCTGGTAAAATGCAACACAGTCATTGCAATCCTGCTCCTAAACAGGTGAATCTATGGGGCAAATACAAAAACTGCTAAAGGACTCGAACCAGAAACATTTGTACAGGAACTAGATTCTTCATTCTCAAACATAATCACATAACCATTTCCACTTTTCTACCCTATTTGTGAGGTTTGGGTGTCAGGCGAGCTTTGAAGTTATTTGCAGGCCTTTGGCCGTCCAGTGTGACCGGCTCTGCGAGAGCTTTTTGAGCACTCTGACCTCATGAAAATCTATGATTCTCATCTGCAATTCACTAATGAAAATAAGCCCAGGGATTGACGCAAACAACTACTGATGAGAGTAAATACAAGAGTAGAATTAGCATCATTAGCAGTGGTAGGGGCTACAAGCGGGAACATGTGACCAACTTCATTTAGGAGTGTTAACAACATCGCCTTTTTCTTTTTTCAGCTTTGTTTTGGTTAGCTGTCTGCCTTTTTTTTAGTGATATATCCTTTTCGTAGGGGTGCATTCGTGATGTAACGTGTCCTGCTAGAGCGAGACATCGTGCAGTCTGGCTCACTGAATTCTCGCGCCGTACAGTGATATGACCACTCCTGTGTGACAGCCGAAAAATGCAGAGTGGCCGGGGCTTTAGGGGGTGCATTTCAAGGAGTGGTAAGCTTGAGGCTTGCATCTAAAATTAGTAGCTATGGTAAAAGGGTTGTTAACAAAACAAGGTTATCACAATACAGTTGCTTTGTTTCACATTTGTAAAACTGAAGTTCTTTTTATTTAAAAGATTTTAATCAAATCTTAGGACTTCTTGTTGATGCTTTCTCAAACCAGCCACTGAAGCCTTTTCATTTGCAAACGAAAATAGAGGGTCTAGTTTTGTGTAAAAATACAGCTTTGGTGTGTAAAATTATAACATTTTTAAAGATAAAACAAAAACTTTGTCTAATTCTGACCCATAAAGCAAAAAATAAAAAATAAATAAATAAAAAAATCAATAAACACAAGGTCTTTGAAATGGTAATTATGAGTTTTCCCTTCATTTCCACTAGTCTGATCTGCAAAGTTCCTAAAATAAATGTATTCAGTTTATCTGATCATCTTTAAAAGACATTCTGCATTCACTCCATGTCCTAAAAGATGCACTTTAGGTTTTCTGACATCTTTTCCTGCAGGTAGAATTGAGTTTGGCCTGAAACGTTCTTAGACATCTAAGGTAGGGCAATCTAGAACCAAATGTAAGCTACCACTGATGCTAAAATGTGAATATGACCCAGAAAAATCCAAAGGAAAGGGAGCAACATGTGATGTTCTGTGTTTGGGGTTAAAGATCAAGATTCTCTGCCTTGCTGTAACCGAACAGATCATTCTGCAAAGTCTGAAGTTCAACGTGGACGTAGTTTTCTTTTTTAACTAAACCGAACCAGGGACAAAGACAGCGCATGTTAAATTAATCATTTACACTTAAGTAAATGTCTAAGAACATTTCCCACTAAATGTCAAGAATTAAGATCAAAATAAAACGTCAACTAAGCACAAAATCCTGAAATTTTGACTATTTAGTGCTGGAACGTGCATTGTATCCGACAAGAATTAGACAAAAACGTGACATATTTTTCATTGCACGAGAAAGGGCAGCACGTTGCGTTGTTTGCTGCGACCCCTCCACAGAGCTAAGTTACTTACTATTGTCTCCCGGACGCGGTTGTGGAAAAGTTGCTCTCTTATCGACACGTCGTCCGCTTCCATTATCCAAAACCATTACAAGTGGCATCGGCCTTAAAAGCACTGAGAGGACGTTTTAATTAAAAATGTAAAGCGCGGAGCATCTTCAAAGAATTCACAGCAGCGAACATACCCGCTGGCAGGCTGCGCTGAGTTTAAACAGCTTCTTCTTCTTCTTCTACGCTAATAAAAACCAGGCGGAGGAGGGACCGCCAGGGGGCGGGGCTTATGAGAAGGATGGAGCCCTGAGCCGCTCAGGATAGCCGTCAATCACTATTATTTTTTTTTTTCTCATGATAAACAAATTTTACAGAAGTAATTCCGGTCTGATACCAAACATGATAGATCACTAGCATGGTGACATTAAGGAAAACAAACAAACAAAAAAAGATCAGAAAAAGACAAGAAGTTACTTTGATTAATAATGATGGACATAAACATCAAGTTGGAGACATCAGTGGTTAACATGTCAACATGTTTGAATCAACGCGAAATACATATTTTTCCACAATTTTTGTTTTGTTAAAGGTTGAATAAGAAACAATTTAATAAACTCCACAGGATGTTTAGAGGTGTGCAGAATGAAGGTAGTATTTCCTTTAAAGGCTATATTTTCATTAAAAATAATCAAATACCTATTTTGACAGCAGGACTCTGGGTTTTTGTTTACATCTGCCAACCAATAGAAGGCACTATAACAGGTTGCCAAGTATGGTAAACAGTCCACTCGGCACAGTGAGGCTAGCCAGGCCTGCCAGACTCCTCCTCTGTTTAATTCTGCAGAGAAAGGGTCTGGGAACTCTCCTATTCAAATAACCCCACCCCCTGAGAATTCTAACCGAGCCAATAAGCGATGAGTAGCGTACGCCACACATCATAACGCCGAGTTTGTCATAAACATGGCGACTGAAGCAGAGTTTGCTGCGGCTCTTTCCTTTGTTCTAAATGACTTGGACACATCTTTAAAACCACAACAAGTGGAGGTGCTAAAAGCCTTTCTTCTAAAAAAAAAAACCCGATGTTTGCGCCATTGCCAGACGCCATTTTTGACTACAGCTAAAAAACTACAGCTTCGCATGGTACAATCGGCATTTCCGTCTTTTTTCTGATTGCTTATTTTTGAGCTGGCTAGTCCTGCCTCTCGTGTGCCTCTCTGCCTGTGAGTAACCAGACTCTTTCTCTGTGCAGAATTAAACAGAGGACGAGTCTGGCAGGCCAGGCTACACTGAGGCTGGCACTGTGGAAAATGGCAGACTCGGGCAGTCAAGCAACTGCTTATGAGCCAAGAAGATGATGTTTTCCTTCTAAGAAGAGGAGCAACCATAAAAGATCTAAAACCAGAGTGAGTTTAGGTGAAGACTACAACAGATGGACCCAAATAAAACATTTCCTGTATCGGTAGCGAACCTTGTTCTATTTTTGCACCTACAACCTCCATACACTAGATGGCGCTTTAGTGTTTTTTTTTATATTCAATCTTTAATACGTCAATGTGGATCTGCCACCCAGACTGAATAAAATTGGAGTGATATCACATCTTAAAGAGCAAGTCACCCCCAAATCAACTTTTTTTCTGATAAACTATATAAATGCGTGTCTAATTGTGCTGCAGACTCGTGTAGTCAATAGTTTTGCACTTCAGTGCATTTTAGTTAAAATTTAAATTTTCTGCCTGAAACGGTCAGTGTTGTGCCGTTGTCAGGTAAAAACTCTTCACTGCATTTGAATTTAAATCTGCCATCGCTATTGGCTAAGAGGTATGCTGTGATGTAAACTGGTACATTATGATGTCACAATGTCGTGAGTGTGTGTATTTGTTAGTGGCTCCACCCTCTCGGTCTGCTAGGCAACAGCATTTGTTGCATTTCTCAAACATGAAGTGGGAGTGGAATACACTTCTTGTAAGGGGTGACTTGCTCTTTAACATTATTGTTCTAACAATATAATTTTCACGTTCTTTACAATATTTTATCACGTTTGTACAATCTATTATCATGTTCTTACAATATAATTTTCAAGTTTGTAAAATATAAATATCACATTTGTACAATATAATGTTCATATAGTACAAACTTGATAAATATGTATACTATACGAACGTGAAAATATTAATGTAAGAGCGTGATAGTGTATTGTACAAATGTGAAAGTTCTATTGTTGGAATAATAAAGTTATGATGATGGCTCTAATGTTATTTTGCGTGAGTGGCAGCTTTATGCTTCCATAAATGTACTTTTAAAAAGCATAAACATAATTAATGGGTCAGTTTTCTTAACTATGAGACATGAGGGCATTTTTCCTTGAATTATATTTTATGAGCATAATTAGCTAAAATTATGACAAATTAATTATTGGGGGGGGGGGGGGGGTCCCCACATGCATATGTAATATCCCTTAATGACAAGGATCTTTTTTTTTAATTGCGCATGCAAAAAGTAATTTATACCACTGTTTTACAGATCTTTTCAACAATAATTGAAATCCTAAATGGCTTAAATGAACAACAACAATGTTGGAGACGCTTGGAAACCCCAACATATATTATTTTTATAGTTTAGGGACTAGATAAACCAGTGATGGACTTGTGGCCTGTCCAGGGTGTCCCTCTTGTGACAGCTGGTGATATGTTCCTGTAGGCTCTCTCAGACCCTAGGAGGAAATGTGGTCCAGAGAACAAGTAAGTTGGTTAACTAAGCTAAACCTGATAAATTTTTTTATTGTGATTAAACAATCATTAAATAGCATTTAAATTCAGTTTTAAAGAATCATCACATTTTTCTTTTTTGTCTAAGTCTAGCTGAAGGGCTCTTACAGATGCACATTGTATATTGAGGCTGCTGTGTAATTTGATTCTCATAATCCAAAGTCCAACTGTTGCAACAACATGCACCAACTTCAACTGCGGAAATAACTGGAAAGGATTTCTCTGGATAAGGGTTTAAAACTAAAGACTGCGTAAGTAACTGAGCTTTTATGACACAAAACCCAAGAATGAATGTGTGGGACTAACAAATTACCTTGTTTAAACTTTAGTGCAATTTTTTCCTATAGTTTGAGGCTCCACAGGACACATGCAATGTTGTATAGTCAGACTTTTGAGGTTAATTACTCAAATTAACTCACAACTACCTTGCGCTAAAACAATTTCTTGTTTAATAAAATTTTATTCAGCCAGAAAGCGAATTGCAGGGAATAAAGATCTCTGTGAATGTGTGCGAAGATGATTAGGTCAGCTGATACATCAGAGAGGGGTTCAACAGAACCTTGTCCTGAGGTTTAACTTATTTAGAAAATGTTGTAATCCTGTGGGATTAGAGAATGAAATGTTCAATGACACAATCAAGTGTCTCAAATTTAAATTATGACCACATGATTAGGTGAAATTATAAACTATTCTAACACTGCTGAAGTACTGGTGAAGGTTCTCAGTCATTCAGGTCGTGGTAATCCAAAGGAGCTAGAATCAAAACAACTATTCCCACACAATGACTCCTCAGGGGTATAGGGAGGAGGGGTATTCAGTAGTAGCCTCAGTTAGATAAGCAACAATAGACAGCAACAGTTTATAAGATTGACTCTCCTTGTCCTGTCAGAACTGACAAAGCTCCTCTGATGAGAATTCAAGAAACCAAAGAAGTCCAGTTGCTTCCATTTGGACTCCGTTGGACTGCAACCGAATGATATTAGAACAGCGTAATTGTTGATTTAAATTATTTTTGTGTTCTGTTCCAGGTTCCATCCAAAGATGACTCCTCTCCCATTCAGAGATTGACCGGTTAAGGACACAGTATGGCGAAGCGCGTGCTGGTAGCCTACGCCTTGTGGGCAGTAGGTGGACCTTTGGGCCTTCACCATCTCTATTTAGGAAGAGACAGTCATGCCCTGCTGTGGATGCTAACCCTTGGAGGGTTTGGGTTTGGCTGGTCCAGAGAGTTCCTACGAATCCCTGCATATGTAAAAGAGGCAAATCAAGATGCAGAGAAAGAAAGAAAACCTCGCAACGCTCCCCCACCAGTCAGCCCTGTTAGATTTGCTGGGCAGGTGTGTGTTGGGATCTACTTCGGAACTGTGGCTCTCATCGGTCTGAACTCCTTGAATTTCTTTTACTTGATTGTTCTGCCTTTAAGCGTGGGTGCCGGGGTTCATCTGGTGTCCAACGTAGGTCAGCAAACATCAGATCTCACAAAAACTTTGACCGCTTGTCTCGTGACATCACCGATATTCTATGGCAGCAGCCTGTCTCCCCTTCCCATCAGCTTAGCTGCTAGTATCACAGCTACACAACATCGTAGGTTCAAACCCCCGAGAACACCTGGAAGTCAAAATAATTTAGGTGAGTTAAGAGCATCCTTTGATTTGTTTATTATATATTCAATGCCAGATTTCTCGAGGAATTAATATTACATTTTCCTTACCTTTGATTCAGGTCCTCGACTTTATAGGCTCAGTCTGGCCTGGCTAGCGTTCTCTGCTCCGCTGGGATACTGTATCTTTCACAATACCACAGCCACACTGTACTACCTGTCCGACTCAATAGCTGCTCTGCTGGATATTTTCTGGTTCCTGCCTGGGCTCAGAGGTGCGTTGGAGTACATTCTTTTAATACCATACCGCATCCTGTGCGTGCTTACCGGAGGGGGGTATTACGATGAGGCCTGGAAAAAGGTGCTGGAAATATTGTTGAGAGAGTACACAGAGAGAGAAAAGACGGCTCTGAAGGTAAGCAAGCCAAAACAAACACAGTGTACAGATTTAATGTAATTTACTCATTTTCTCTTTGTGACTGTGTGGACTTTTAATCCCAGGTGTTGTCGTTGGAGACAGAAGCATCTCTTGAAGAGATAAATCGAAGTTATAGGGAGATGGCCAAAACATGGCATCCAGACCACAATCCCAACAGGGATGCTGAGAAAATGTTCGTGAAGGTCCAGGAGGCTTACGAGGTCTTGCTGCGATGGCACAAGCCCCATCGCTTTACTTAGTGGGCCTGGCGCTACATTTGTCATAAAAATTTAAGACATATTATAACCCTGATTACACAGATATGTGACACATTGATTTCTAAATAAGTGAACATGAACATGAGCACTAGGCAGTGTTGTGGATGACAACAAAAAGTTCTACTAATGTTCTCATGATTTAATGAGTTCGCTTGAGAAATGTTGCCCTCTTGTGCCTATATTGTGGTATTACATTAAAATTATTATTTAAAAAAATCTTTTTTCTGATTTAGGGCAAAAGTAGTTTCTTTGAAAATGAGTCTTAACTGAAACAATCAGCAATGTATTTTTTTATTGAAACATTTCAAAAAGAAAAAAATAACTACTGTTAACATGCTAAGTCTCCATCTTCTTTGATCTTTGGATGCTGCTTCTGCTTTACATTTTGCTATCGGATGGCGATTTGCTAACTTTACAACAACAATCCAAAGACTAAACTTTTATAATGTTCACACTCTTTGATGGAAGAAAGAAAGAAACAAACAATAAAGTAAGAATGTTATAATATAATCATGAAAAATACAACACAATATTGTATTAAATAAACTGGTGACTTTTCAATGCGCGAGGCCGATGTTTAACTTCCTAAAAGACGCCCCAGTGAGGTTTTTAAGTGTCGCTACAAATTTACAATCTCATTAAAGCTTTTAGGGAAATCAAGTGAACCTTTAACGTCTCCACAACACTGAATCATTTGCGTTATAAATATTTAAGAAAATTGCCATAATTTACAAAATTCCAACATCTTCTGTTAAAACCATTGAGCCTACAAAAACTGTTTTAAAAGCTTAAAGAAAGTGTAATATCATAAATAATGTGCTTTGTTAGTGTGTTGTTATCGTTATTGCTCAGTCCGCTTTCTGTTTACAGAAACTAGTGTTGTTGAAATTGTAAAATAAGTACAATTGTAAAACAAGTAAAAACAAAACTTCTGTTTGATAAATGTTGCTGTCCTGTGGCAATTCAGTGGTACTAGATGATTTATTTCTAACATTTAGATTAAATAAATTTTGCTTAATAAATATTTAGTTTTGTCTTTGATTTTTCAATCCTGGCTTACAATATTTGATATATCTGATGAATGAGAAGAACATTCACTACCATTAATATGGAAATGTTCATCTTTGGATTTTGGACGCTGCTTCTGCTGGACATTTATTGCCATGAATCTCCTATCATTTTATATACATACATACATATATATATATATATATATATATATATATATATATATATATATATATATATATATATATATATATATATATATATATATATATATATATATAGTTTAAGGAAAATCAAGCGAATTGTTAACTTTTCTGTAAAACACAATTATTTGCTGTTATAAAGTATTCAAAAATAAAGAAAAACATTGCAATAATAGTGGTACAAAATTACAGCTTTTTCTATGAAGACATTAGTATATGCCCCTGTTATAACACAAGTAATTTAATTAATTAACCCAATATCATTAATATTTAATTTAACGTCACAATTTGATAAAATACACAGAGTTTTACATTGAAACAACAATACTTTTCCTGATCAGCTGTTTAACACTTCTCTCTGTTAATTTTTTTTACTGCAGTTTGCTGCCATCTTGTGAAACGACAAGCGTAGAAAATAGACATTTCATCAAACCTCTTACTGATTTGAATATTTGTCTTCCTTTTCAGATACAATAAATAAATAAATGCAGTATATATGCATCAGTGTCAATAAACGCATTTATAGCGGTGCAGATCAATGCAAAGACAATAAATAAGGTAAATAAAGTGATTCTTTTTTTAAAGGACATGACAAGAATGCTGCACCAGTAAAATGCACTGTTTGCTATTGACCTAGGCTTTACATGATGCTATGAAGAAATTAAATCCACATCTTCTCGTGAATCCGCTTGATGTTTATTTATATCGATGCATTCGACAATCACTGGATCAACAGCTCTGTCTGTATCCCAGCATGGGCCCGGAAGTTGTTTGGGATTCAGGTGGAAAAAAAAAAAAGAAAAAGAAAGGGAAAAAAATCCCGGAGATGCTGTCGTCGCTTGGGAAAACTAACTGCCATCCAGACAATTAAAGAAGAAAGCACCGATCGGTCGCCAGGTAAGCACGACTTCACCGGGCTTCAGCCCCATCCACCGCTGTAGACCCGGGGGCTCGTTATGTTTGTGAATAGTTGGTGGGGTGTATGCCATTTGTCGTGTGGTCGGGTGCCATAGCAACGGCTGGTGAGAAACATTGTGTAGCCCAGGCCAGTTTGACGTGCTCAGTGTTGGATGACAGCTGCGTTCATGCGGACAATTCGGACAGTCGCAACTCCTCCTGCAACAAATTGCCGCCGCGTCTCGCCGCTGTCTGGACGAGCCGATCGGTGTCACGGCGGACCGAATCCACGGACGGTCGGGAGGCTTATGATGATTATTTATACATGACTGAATGTACAAGCGATGCCGTAGACATCGGGTCTTACTGAATCGTCGGGTGAAGGTTACAGCGCCAGTGCGAAGCCGTTTATTGTTGTTAATATTTCATCGCCGTGCCCCGGTGTGACTGGCGCGTCTCCCGGCTGCATCAGCGCCTGTTGCTCCCCATGCGCGGCCAATGCCGGGATATTAATTCTCACTGAGATGCGTTGTCTCCGCCCCCTCTCTCCACAAAGTCAGTGTCCGCCGTTGTCATCCATTTGAGCAAAAGGTGCAGCTTTGCTCTACATCTTTGTCTTCCTCAAAGCTGCGTCTGTTCTCACATGAAATAAACATATTGGCGGCTATTTCTGAAGGAAACGTAAGTCGGTGCAGTCTGCCCAGGGTCTGCTTCACTTTACTATTGAATAACTGTTTTATGTAACCTTTATATATATATATATATATATATATATATATATATATATATATATATATATATATATATATATATATATATATATATATATATATATATATATATATATATAATTAATAACATGACAATAAACAAAATTGTAGGTATTATTACAACAGGCACAAATTATTATAATGTAATATAATATAATATAATATAATATAATATAATAGGTAACGCTTCCTTTTACAGTCCCCTAATTACTAAGTACTTACATGGTAATTGCATAGTAAGTTAAAGTGTATTTGTAATAAACTGTATAATTGTAATAAAGTGTAATTATTGTGTAAAGCAGTATTTACTGGGAATGATTAATAAAAATAAAAACTAGAACTGAACCTGAGTTACATGGTAATAGCTGTTTAAGAACTCTGAAACAATAATACACTTTAACTTACTATGTAATTACCATGTAAGTACTTAGTAATTATGGGATTGTAAATGGAAGCATTCCCATATCATATCATATCATATCATATCATATCATATCATATCATATCATATCATATCATATCATATCATATCACATCACATCACATCATATACATTTTCATGTCATTTTGGACTGAATAAGCTCACATCTGTTTTGTCTAAGCCTTGAAGTTTCAGCTCCTCCTTCAACACAACTGGCCACTAGTTTTTCTATAAATATGAAGCTTCTCAGATTTATTTGAGACAGCCTGTAAAAGAATCTCCTGGATCCAAATACATCGAGTCAGAACTTTACTTGTTAAGTTTAAACTAAACTTCCTATAGGATTCTCAGAACTTTGGAGCCTAAATCTCTCTGTGCTCTATTCTTCCAGCTTATAATTACAGTTTATTCAATTCTGTTAAAGGTACAGCCTTTTTAATATTTTGAAATAATTATTAACTTTTTGTCATAAATGTAAACAAGCAATTTTTTTTAACAGGAATCTGGTGAGAGAATGAATGTTGATGACTGCAATGGACGCTCATTTACACAAGGTAATAAAAAAAAGATATTTGTGTATACTGCTACCAAGATTCATTTTATTTTAATCAAACATATTGGATATATTTTTATTCCAGGTAATGGAGGGGAGTCATTAGCAGAACAGGATTTTTACGGCAGGTTGCAGGGTCCTTCTGCAAGATCTCCTAACAGTCAGCAGTCCTCACCGCACCGCTCCCTTAGCTGTAAGCTTTGTTTTACCGATTATGTGTGCGGCATGCATCATTTATATCACGTGTAAAATAAAATGTGTTGTTTTCCTTTAAATTCTTGATTCACACAGCAAACTCCATCAAGGTTGAGCTGTGTAGTGAGGATGACTCGTCAGGTGCTCCCAAGCTGGAGAATAAAGAAGCTGTGAGAGCCGATAACGATAAAGATGACCAAGGAGACCCCATGGATGAAGGAGGTGCAGCATTCTCTGCAGCTGGAAAAGACAGAGGGAGCATTTACAATGAGATTGCCAATCCCAGTTCTGCCTCACCAGGACCTATCAGGCTGCCCAACGGGAAGCTCCAGTGTGAGGTGTGTGGGATGGTCTGCATCGGACCCAACGTGCTAATGGTCCACAAGCGCAGCCACACAGGTGAGAGCAAGCAAACCAGCCACCAGCATAGGTCCCAACTTGGAAATGATTTAAAAAGATTTCTCTGCACGTTTTTGTGATCACAGGTGAGCGTCCGTTCCAGTGTAACCAGTGTGGAGCTTCCTTCACCCAGAAGGGGAACCTGCTGCGCCACATCAAGTTGCATTCAGGAGAGAAGCCTTTTAAATGTCCCATCTGCAATTATGCATGTCGCAGAAGAGACGCTCTTGCCGGACATCTACGCACTCATGCAGGTAAGCTGCAGAACTGCTCTGCCGCTAACATAAGCTAAATATAAATCTGATTATAAATCAACCCAGGGCTACATCCATACACGATCATCATGAATCTCACACTTAAAGTCTAGTTGACTGATACATACAGATCAGTGCTATCTGGGGTTTAAGTGTCGTGCCATAGAGGAAGTGTGTTAGTGAACTTAATAGATGCTGCTGTAAAGTTATACAAGAGAACAATAGAGGTATGAGACAAAAGAATGGTCCTTTTTCTTTGAAGCTCAGAGGAAGTAGGTATTTTTTATGAGTTTTCTGTAAAAAAAAAAAAAAGGACAAAATATGACATTTAGCAGATTGTATAAAAACAGGAAATCCTCTTGGTGTGCTTTCAAATTTTGAGCCCGCATACGAACAACAGGTGTTCTCATACAGTCTTGGTACAGTAGGCTCGGTGGATGTCATCGGGTTGCAGGGGTTCATTTCCAGAGAAACGATTATTGCGAACGGATTTCAGCAAATTGACGTCAGTCCTTCCGACAGCTCACTAAAGTGGAGCGTTGCGGTGAAGGGTTAGGCAGGGTGTTTTTTTGTCACTATCACGAACTGATGATAACTTTCAGGATTCCTAATCAAAGGGAAAATCCATCATCTCAAACCAAGCTATAGTGCTGTTGGTAAAAGTGAAAATCCCCCTGTAATAAACAAGTAAACAACATCAGTAAACAAATACGCACATTTTCCAAGCAGATCTTTGCCTTGTGTTTCACCAACAGTGTCTAATCAGATAAGGAAGCAAATAAATCTGTTTTTCTCTGGATTTCAGTTTCTTCTCCAACGGTGGGAAAGCCTTTCAAGTGCAGCTACTGCAGTCGCAGCTACAAACAGCAGAGCACACTGGAGGAACATCTGGAGCGCTGCCATAGTTACCTGAAGACTCTTGACCCTCAAAATGCGGTCAGCACACAGATGCAACAGGGTAACCAGCGCAAAACCCAACATGTAAATCCAGTCATTTACCCCTTCAATAGTGATAGTGTTTATTTTTTCTGTTTGTGTAGGTGACGAATCAGTGAATGTGGAGGCAATTACTAAACCTGCACAGCAGCCATCCAATGAAAAGATCCACTTTGTGGATAGATTGTCTATCAGCATAACCAAACGCAAGAGGTCAACTCCACAGAAGTTTTTAGGTGAGCTTCATTTTGGCTGAAATGTACGGAAGCCTAAAGCTGCCACCCACGCAAAATTAAATTAGAGCAATATCACATTATAACACCTTAACTCTATTGTTCTGATAGTATACTTTTCACATTCTTACAATATGTTATCATATTTGTACAATATACTACCATGCTCTAACATGTAAATATCACGTCGTACAATATAATATTTGTGTTTTAAAAACATGATATTATCTTGTTGTAAAAACACCACAGTACATTGTAAGAATGTGATAATTTATTGTACAACTATGAAAGTTATATTGTTGGAAAAAGAAAGTTCTGATGTTATAACGCCATATATCTCTAATTTTATTTTACGTGGATGGCATCTCTATGCTAGTTTTGAAATTATTCACGTATTTTTGAGTTTGTCTGTTTTTAGCATGAATGAGAAAAAAAACAGTTGCTATACTCTGGAATGAAGACACTTTTGAGATACTGGGTTAATGATAAGCCTCTAATTTTATTGTGTTATTAATCTAAGAGGCACTCTGACTTTGGTTTTATTTATCTGTTCCTCTTTGTAGGAGATAAGCACATGCACCTTGATCCACCAGAAGCACCTTATGAACTGTCCTCTGGCTCTGAGAAGGAAGGAGACCTCCTAAGCTCCCATTCTGCTGGTGACTCCGTTGGGCCGGTCGGGTCACACCTCCACTATGCCAGGGGAAAGGCCGAGAACCACGAGTCGTCTGCCCTGTCTCAGCTCCCTCCCAGCTTTGTGGCAGAGCTCCGCACCGTTGTGGGCTCCATAAACAGCAACATGACTCCTCAGGGCCCCCGAGCCCACAGCGGAGTCGGGCTTGCGGCAATGTCTCTTGGCTTGCTAGGGCGGGAGGCTGGCGAAGGCCGAGATGACCAGCGCTCTGCACACAGCCACACCACTTCACCCAATGGGTGTCCTGACTCCACGGACACGGAAAGCACAGCCGAAGAGCAGAGCACAAGGGCTGCAGCCCCAACTAGTACCTCCAACAACCACCACCTCCACTACCTAACCCCAGCACTGCCCCGCAGCCATCCCACCTCCAGCCCCAATCAGGCCAAAGACTTGGATGCCGATTGGGAACGAGGGGGTCCGGTGCCCCCCGCTATAGTAAAGAGGACCCTGAGCTCACCTCCTTCTTCCAGGAACAACTTGCAGGTGTTGGACAGGGCTGGCAGGCCCGTGCGCTCCTTCTACTGCCAGCACTGCTGCATCCTCTTTCTGGACCACGTCATGTTCACCATCCACATGGGCTGTCACGGCTTCCGCCAGCCGTTCGAGTGCAACATCTGTGGCCACCCCAGCCAGGACCGCTACGAGTTCTCGTCCCACATCAGCCGCGGAGAGCACCAGGTGGGCTGAGAACAGGAGAGAGACTGTGGCTGCATGAGGAGAGGCAACTGTTGCTCTCTAATCTCATTGGCTTGTGTCTGTTCTGCACCAGATTAGCTGCTTTAAATCCCTAATCTACAAAATGAGGAAGAAAAAAGATTTTTTTAACTTTAATGTGAAAATTTATTCTAAACCTTTGCAGAAATTTGTGAAAAATGTCTTCAGCGCACCAGTTAATGATCAGTGGGGGCAAATTAAACTGTTATTGATTACACCCCCTTATCAAATTATGTGGCAAACTAGGTTTTGTCACAAAAGTGCCTTCTGTGGGGATTTCCTCTACACACACACACACACACACACACACACACACACACACACACACACACACACACACACACACACACACACACACACACACACACACACACACACAAACAAAGAAAAAACTGGGGAGTACAGGTGCTCAAGAATCTTGACTAGCCATCGGTTTCTAAGTGATTTTGAGTAGTTATTCAGTTTAGGCAACCACATTCACATGCATTTATGGAAAAGCATGTAACGTTTAAAACATGATACTGCTTGGTGTGCACTAAGAGCTTTGCTTTTGTGGCTGAGGAGGGTATTTTGTGCAGTTTGTCAGGTAAGTTTAATATGCACTGAGAGCTTTGTGCCTCTGGCTGTGGGAGGAGCTTTTGTCTGAGACAAAGCACAGACATGGAATGCCTTAGCTCCTACAGCTGTTATAGGAACACATATTGTTTACAGCACGACACAAACAGCGCGTGAAGTCGACTCTAAAGAGTGCACGTTTAGGACAGAAGAGAATCTTAAAGGGAAGCTTAGGGCTGACATTTGAGAGAGAGTTTTTATGGATTCTAAAGTTTTAAGGTGCTGGTGCAGATCAGACCACGAGTTCTTTTGGTGTGTAAAGACCCTCGCCGTATTGACCCAGGGTGCTCTACCTCGCTGCAGGATTGCACTTTTAGGTTCCCTGCTTATATATGAACGTCTCCGCTGAAGCACTTCATGGCTTTATGATAATGCTCCCTGTGATTGCTCGACTGCACTGGTCAACTAGCGCATTTCTAACAGAGCAGGGCCTTCTTCAGCATCCTGCAGCATCGCACTTGTCTGCACTCAAGTCTGCTGCAATGCCTAACCGGACTAATTAAACATTAGCTCAATTAACAACAAATTTCGTTTTTCCCAGCAGTTGATGCTGAGGGTTTAAATGATTTTCCAGATCGCAAATTACTTTAAAAATGATTTTAAATGAAATTAACAGCAAATGGGTTCAGATCTGTTCAGTTATCACTTGTGATTATCTATTTAGTGTTGTTTGTTTCAGCCTCGGTGTATTTAATCAGCTATATTCCAAATGTTATCCAGCATATTCCTCAAGTCCATGAAATGTTACCTCCTGCTTCTTTATAGCACCCAAAAACCTTATTGCTACAGTACGGTGAATTCTTTCATATTGTTGATATTGGGAACATGAATGAAACCAAACTCAGTATTCTTACTTATCGTGGGTTTGCTGCTTAATAGTTTATCTTAATTTCCTTTAATAGCAAGCAAAATGTACTTGAAACTGTTTGAAAAGAAAAACTAAAATGCACTTGGGTTTGATGAGAACAGAAATGTGTGTTTGGGTGTGTGTGTGAGTGTGTGGGCGAGTGGAATTTAGCATGTGTGCTGGTCATTTTCTGCTTCTACCTGAATTGTGAATTATTTTTTTGAAATGTGAAGTAATTCTAAGATGTGCAAATGAGGCATGGGTTTTTCTGTCTCCTTGTGTGGAATCAATGTTTTCATATATTTTGTGAATGATGTAACATAACAAAAACACTTTACCTCAAACGTTCAAGATGTACAACTGCCTCATTAGTTCAGAAGAAGTCATGTTGCTTTCTGGGATGTTCTTGCAGTTACAAAGGCGTGCCCCTTGATATTTTCAAAACTTTTTACTGTCAATAAAGTTACATTTATCGTAAAAAAAAAACCAACAGCAGTGATTCTGTCCTGGTTCTCTGATATCTTCCATGTTTATGTGCCTATTCAGCAGATACTCAAATGATAAAATATATAAAATCCACAAAACAGAATATATAATTTGGTTGACGGGGAATGCAAAATGCTCGTAAAAAAGAGCCCAAAACGTTTTATTTTTTGCATTTTTTTATTTTCTGCAGGGCAAATATTGTAATTCAGTGATAATTACAGTAATGCGATGATCCAATTAGCTGTCTGTAGTTTTTCTTTTACCTGATGGCACCATCTAGTGGCTGACAAGCATATCACACCATGACCTAGTTTCATTTCCATATTTAGGTCTGAAAGAAATGTCTTTCATTCATGAACGTGCTCCTCTAACAAAACAGAGCTAAAACACATTTTTTCACAATATGCTAATATTATGTTGTGTTTTCATGTGTTCATATTTTAAAAACTTACTTGTCCATGAGAAAGGTCTCCGACTCTGCATCAACCCAGGTACGCTCAAGTACTCTGTGATTGACATCTGTACGTAAGCGGTAGTTTAATGCCATTGGTTAGTGCTGCAGTTCATATTGCATTGGCCCAATCCCAATACTCACACTTCCACGCTTGCGCGTTCCAGTCCAGGAGTGTGAGTTAGCAGGGTGTCCCAATCCTCAAGTGCAGAAGTTGACCACGCCCCTTTTGCTCAAGTCTGCATCGATGTTCAATCCATTGGTGTGTGGGAATTGTGAGAAATAGGCGGAACAATGGCTCAAGCAGCTTTTCTGAAGATATGTATTTTCAAGATGATTAGTGGTATTTGGTCATGTTCTGAATGTTTTAAGCTAAGAGTTCATGTGAAAAGCAATTTTGTCAATAATGTGGTTGTTTGTTTGTTTGAAAGTTGTTGATTTGTAAAATAGGAGCACCGAACAGCGAACGTTATGCGTTGCAGTCTATGATGAGAAATTGTTTTCTAAATTTAGCAGAGTTGTGCACGTATGGAGCGTGTGACTCAGACGGATCTCAATGGAGAAACACTTTTTCATTGTGTTTGTACTCTGTTATGAACATAATGACAGTTAACCTGATTTGATTTGATGTAGTTTTTACGTCCCAATTTGGCAGATATTTGCACACTTGTGTACTCCGTGTACTCCGCACTCGAAGCCTTACTGCTCACTTCCTCCAAGTCTACTTTGCAGTGAGAGTATTGGGATTGGGCCTTTGCGTTCTATGGGATAGGGAATGGGCTTAGCAGAAAAAATATATTTCCAACATTATATCACAGTAAATGATAAGACAATCACTTTTATCTATTTCTGAAGGATCACACATGATTTCTGAAAGGGGAAAACTCTGGATAGCAGCTTTAACTTTTACACAAACAGCCCCTTTCTGCTTTGCTTTTTATGTTTACTTTCTTATTTTGATAGATTTTATGATAAATGGCCTGTATTTGAAATAGCACCTTGTAGAGTCCTGGAACCCCTTAAGGCACTTTACAACACAATCAGTCATTCACCCATTCACACACACATTCACACGCTGGTGGGGATGAGCTACGATGTAGCCACAGCTGCCCTGGGGCGCATTGACAGAGGCGAGGCTGCTGAGCACTGGCACCACCGGGCCCTCCGACCACTACCAGCACTTCTGAGCACGATTTATTAAAACAAAAGGATGAAAATGGTCTCAAAACATCAAAGCGTTATAAATGAAAGCCTTTCAGAAAGCTGATTTCTATCTGCATTGCAAAGACTAATTAAAATATGCAGCTTCAAAAGCAAGTATCAGTTACATAAAACAGATATCACGTTTTGCAGGTAAATCATTTATAAAGGAGAACATTTCTGGCTATAAGCGATCCACCTGGTCATCACTGCATTCCCATTTTCACCAATTAAAGAAAAAAAAAGAGAATTTCACCAGATGTTTACTTTTGAAATATCTATCTATTTAAAAAAAACAAGAACTAGGACTAACCTGAACCTTGACTGTTTTTTGCTCGTGTGACCTTTATGTTTACAAGATAGACATCTGTTGTACATTTTCACATCTGTTTTGACCTTTTCTGACATGAGCAGTGGAAATCCTGTCTTTGCAGATCCTACATTCAGATTCCAGCTGAAGCTTCATGTGCATATATTTAAAACAAACTAATTTAACAAAGCAAAAAGAAGGCTGGAGCACAAGCGGGTGTCGAAACGTTAGTCCTTTTTTGTGCTTGCACTTATTAAATGTTTTTGCCACTTTGAGTGCTCCAGCCTTTTTTTTGTTGCTTTTTTCCACGTCATTGTTCTTTGCTGTGGAGCACCAACTACTGACCTGATTATGAGCAGAGGATCTCAGATGTGAAGCTAATTCAATACATTGCAAAAAGCAACAATTAGATAAGTTAAATTGTACGGCCAAATGTGACTAAAACTCACAGAACAGAATAGAATAGACTTCAATGATCCTACGGTGGGGAAATCTATTCACATACGTAGAGAGAATAGGAAAAAATACAGTAAGTAAATACACGAGCAGATACAAGGGCATTAGGCTTTTGCCGTGACTTTCAGCAAATTCAAAAATGAATACAAATTGAAAATAATAATCCATCTTCATACAAACGAGATGTGCAGGAATTTGTTTTGTACTTTTACAAATATCCAATGTAACTGCATCCAAAAACACAACCCAGCGTTGTGTATTTTTGTTCAGCATGCCTTAATCTTCTGGACTCTAATCAAAAACAGTTACGGTAGTTGGACATCTACTTTAACTATAGTGTGCAGGTCTTAATGGAAACACACACCAGGCAGATCTCCACCCATTCTAACGTCTCCAACGCTCTTCATCAATTATTTAATGACAATAACCGAAGCAGTTCAATTTACACATACAACTGAAGACTTGGAACAACTTCAGAAGCATTGAACCCCCATTTACAGTGTGTGCTGCTTTTAATATTCTGAAGAAACAATCGGATGGGAAACCCTGAAAAAACTTTGAATTTCATCAGAACTGCCACCACCAGTCTTCAACAGGAAGCTTAGGCAGCTGCTGGCTTCTCTGATATACTTTACATTTATTCACAACAACTTTAAACACCGATGTTCAAGTGAGAGGATTTTGTAACATTTCTGCAAGTTATTTTTCTGCCCATTATAAGTTAATAAGTGAAGATAAAAAAATGAGGGTTGAAAAAAGAAAATTGTCAGACTGCTTTATTTTTAAGTGACTGTATTTAAGACAATTATAAATGATCTTTAATCCCAATAAAAACTCACCCAAGCAGGTTTCCATTCAGGCCCTTATTCAAGTGAGCAGTTCGTTTAGACGGTAAGCAGCACAGACTTTATCGGATGAGTGGGTTTAAAAGACAACAGCTCCTTTTAAAATCCTCTATAATT